CGCAGCGCTTCAAACCCCGGGCGTTGCGTGACTGCGGCCGCGCGATGCGGGGTGCAGCCAAGCACCCGCAGCGCGGAGAGAAGGCGGGGGGCGGCGGGGGGACAGCCTGCAGGGGACGGTGCCCCCGGCGGCAGGGGGCACGTGTGGAAACACGGGGTACCCAGACGGAACCGGGAGGTACGGACCCCCGGGGACGGGGACAGGGACGCTCCCGTCCCTCGCTTCCCCCTCTGCCACCTTGCCAGGACGGCCTGCGCCATCCCCGCGTCCCTGTTCCTCCCCAGTGCCCAAGGCCGCGCGTCCCCGCCACCGGCAACTGGAGGGGATCAGCGGCACGAGCCGGGGCACAGCCCAGCCCTCGTTCCGCTCGCCTCCCCTGCCAGGGAGGGGGAGCACGGCGGCAGCCCCCAGGCAAGCCTTCAGACCCCGCATCCCCTGCAAGAGGTCACGGCCCCCAAATCGTGCCCGTGGTGCGCTGCCACCGGGGGTGATGGCCAGCAGCACAGCCACGCTGGGGTGGCCAGTGGCATGCTGTCCACAAACCCCCTCACTGGCTGCAAATCTGTCCTAGATGCAAAGTAAATTAGAATAAGAATGGAATAGAATGGAATAGAAATAGAATAGAAATAGAATAGAAATATAGAATAGAATAGAATAGAATAGAATGGAATAGAATGGAATAGAATAGAATAGAATAGAATAGAATAGAATAGAATAGAATAGTTGGAAGGGACCTACAACAACCATCTGGTTGGCTGCACGACCGCTTCAGAGCCAACCAAAAGTTAAAGCATGTTATTATGGGCAATGTCCAAATGCCTCTTAAACACTGACGGGCTTGGGGCACCAGCCACCTCTCTAGGAAGCCTGTTCTGGTGTTTGATCACCCTCTTGATAAAGAAATGCTTCCTAATGTCCAGTCTAAACCTCCCCTGGCGCAGCTTTGAACCATTCCCACGCATCCTATCACTGGATACCAGGGAGAAGAGCTCAGCACCTCCCTCTCTGCTTCCCCTCCCCAGAAAGCTGTAGAGAGCAATGAGGTCGCCCCTCAGCCTCCTTGTCTCCAAACCAGACAAACCTGGCCAAATTAACTTGCCTTAAGCTCCAGACTCGCTAGACGGCACATTTACCTTGGCTCTCTCCGGAGGCTGGGTTATTTCAGCTTGGGGGCAGTGCTCTGCGCCATGGCTGCAGAGCAGACCTGCTTTCAACCAGAGCTGTAATAATGCATGTGCCCTGGCAGCACGACTGTGCTATACAGCATTAGTCTGGGCTCCTCAACACAGAAACGCTTGTCTGGGTTTTAGCTCTAAATGCAAGTGAGAACCACTGAAGAGAAGGCGTATGTGGGCCCTCTGGCTTGGGGCTAGGTTCTGCTCCCTTTGAAGTCAGTAAAAGGTTTTGCCATTGACTGCACTGGTTAGAAGAATTAGTTGTGGGGTTTTTTTAACATCATCAGACATTCATTGCACTCTCCCACGAGAGCAGGTTGAATTATCTGTTGTAAATAATTTATCCAGTGAATTTAGTCCTTTTTCTGTTCATGTATAAAAAGTGCCATTTGCATTCACAATTATGAGCGTTCAATAAGAGCAATATGAGCACATCATTCAACTGACAGGTCTCTCCTGCCTTCTGCAAGAGACAGAGGAAAGGACAGACGAGACAGAAGCCAAGATTGTGGCTGGAGGAGGAGTGAGTTACGTTTTACAGAGTGCACTTCATAAACATGCCCAGCACCCAGAAGCCATGGAGACAGGAGGTCAGAGCAGAACCTCGACCCACAGGCCTAAGTTGCTCACCTTGACTGTGCCTCCATCAATTGTGCCGCGTCATGAGTTCCCCCGTCACTTGGTAATATTTCTGCTCTTCAGACAGATGAAGCAAACTTGATAAAAAAGAGAAAATACCAAATGCTCTTGTGCAACTGCAAATGCACAGAGCCAGGCATCCTTTGGGAATTCAAAAGAACAAAACTTGGTCATGTATCTTGGGAAAAAGCAGGCAAAGCAGCTAAATAAGTAAGACTTGGCCACATGGCTGGACTTAACAATTTTTGCACTTTCATACTGGTGCTTTGCTACATTTCATCAATCCTTTGTATTTCACCAATTCTTCTTACAAGCACTGAGTCCAAAGGAAGAAGATACAGAGGTACAAAAGGCAGAAGACAGACGATGTAATGCTTCACAGCTGTATGGAACAGACAAGTTACTGTGCCCTCTTTCTTTTTGTGTGAATATCTGCAGCCATGACAGAAGGGGTGGACTGTCAGCTTGTTTTTCAGTCAACTTAAAATCCAAGTGTTAATGGAGAAAAGTGACTTGAGGTCAACCTGAAATTACTACTTTAGAAATGTTTTGACAAATTGAATTTTTTTTCTACACATTTAGTTTCAGTCCTTCTTGCACATTTTAAAATACGATTTAAATAACCTTGAAGTGCCTCTGGAAATGGATAGTCATTCTAAAATGAAATATTAAAGCATTGCATTTTGAAAGTGACAAATCCCATTTTTCTTTTCTTTTTTATTTTATTGTTTTGTTTTAACCTGAAGACATCTATGGATTCATCATGAACTCATGACATGCTTTGGTCAACCTCCCCATGCAGGGCTCAACAGAAAAAGCTTTAGACAAAATGTTCACCAGCTTCTAACTGAAGAAGAGTAATGCTGAAAGGTGGTTATATTCATGCAAAACAGCTCTGACATCTCGGGATGTCTGGACACCCGAGTGCTGTACGATCAAGGACGTTGGGAGAAAATGTTCTCTGCCACATCTGTTCTGCCCATGTTCTCATGCGCAGTGGGTTGAGTGGCATTCCCTTGCCCTTTTGGTTCCCCCTGCTTTCGGCTGGGATTTCCCCTGGCAGCAAACGGCACGGTATCATTTTTGAAAAACCGTAAAGGGATACAGGATCTGCTTGTGTGAATGGCCTTCCAAGGTGAGCAAGGGTGGTTTCTGGAAAAGGATGGTGAAGAGCAGGATGAAATGGAGCCAGAAACATTTTCTTCCATGTGGTCCTTTTTTATTCTTTCTGGTTTTACACTCGAGGAACGTAGCGCAAAGCCTATGTAAGCAATACCTACTACTTACTGTTTTTCTTAGAGGTTTAAAACTCAGTCCCCTGAATTACCGTAGGGATTTCTTTATGGCTTCCCTTCATCTCTGTAGGTCTGCAATGGAAGTCTGCATCTGACAGTGAAAAATGTCATAACTCTGTCTTCCTGGCAAGGGAGAAGAAAGCCTGACAGACACCTTGCAAAGTGAAAACAAATGAGGAGCTGTAATTTAAAAGCACAGAGAGACTCCACAGTCAGCTGGGAGCTCCTGATGACCTGCAGACACGGGGCAGCTGAGCAGCTGTGGTGGGAGAGCTGTTCCTACTGCATCCCCTCCAGCCTGGCTTAGCCCGAGGGGCGTCTGACACCGTGGAAGAGATCCCATGAAGGGGATATCGAAAAGGGTCTGTGGAAGAAATCTTTTCAAAAGTGGCTTTTTTTCATCTTTAGAATGAATAAGAATGAAGAAAAACAGACAAGAAACACTATATAACAAGATTATTCAGAAAAGGTAATTTAAAAAAACATGTAGCATTTATAGGTATACAAATTTTTATAGAAATTAAGGACTTTGAGGTGAGGGCTATTCTCTCCTTGTTCCCTGGACATACCCAACACCTTTTTTGGGCTGCTTACTGAGGGTTACTGTCACAGACTCCAGCTCCAGCTCCCAGTCTTGGCTCCACCACTGACTTGTGCTGGAAGCCACTGCTTTGCTTCATTTCAACCGAGGGTGCCTTCTCCAGGGACCCGCAGGCGCCACAGTCCTGTCCCAGCCTCCCTCCCTGCAGAGCGCTGGAGCCACCGAGGCACCTCTGCAGCTGGAGCCATCAGGTGAAACAGCAGCAGCAATAATTACAAACCAGCAGGCAGAGCCTCACCTTACTTTTCCCCAGTGTTTACACCAGGCAGACACTCTCAATTCCCCCGGAGACTGTAGTATATGGCACAGAATGAATACTCAATAAAAATCCTAGGATTCACCGAATATGAATTGGTGATGGAGGTGACAGCTAGCAAACCATCTTGTCCCTCGTTTTGACAGAAGGCCCTGAGTTTTGTGGTGTTTCAAGGCTGCCTTACGTACTGAACAGAGCACAGGGTGACAGGACAGAGGTGTCTGAAAATCTCTGCAGGAATTTTTCACTTTGTGCTTCATTTCTATGTAGCTTCAGTGACTCCAGAAGGTCAGGAGCAGCCCTCTCAACATAGTACCCAGGATATGCTCAGTTTTAAGCCAGAGTTTACTCATTTTCTGCTGAAGTTCTTTAGCTTTTTTCTTTTTTTTTTTTTGGTTAGCATTCTCTACAGCTGTGTTTCTACCATCACATATACTACAGTGTATATATAATTCTTGGGGCTCAAAGGCACTACATCAATTTAAAACTAGTAGGTCTTCCTGACGATAAGCAGTGAGTCTAAATTGTGGAAGATGAATTGCAAGACTTTGGCCGGCACACTGCCTGCATTTAGACCCATGCTGGTGATGGGAGAAAGTCAGCAGGCTTTTAAAAAGCCATAGATAATTATCATGCCAGGGTCTAGAATTTAAGGATGAGTACAGAGAGGCCCAGAGCAAGAACATAGGTTCATAGGGAAGACGGGCCTACTGCTTGAACAGTTATTTCAAACACCACAGTTTCTTCTTACATGGTTATGTGTGCTACTGCACAGATAAACTCTTCAATGCATTACAGTATCAGGAAATAGAAGAGATACTGTTTGCTGGATTACAAAACCAATGGCCTCATTAAGGAAGACATAAGTAATGTCACATCTTTGCTGATACCTTAAGAACTGCTTAGGGAACCACTGGGACTAAAAAAGGGAACAGCAAAAAACAGCAAAAAAATTTTCAAAGAAATGGGGGATTAAAGAATCCCTCTTATTTTCCATATGAACCTTCTTTCTGTAACACATATCACTGGGAAGCATCTGCTTATACAGGTACAGGGGAAAAGCATCGGGATTTCTAACATTTGCCACTTGTTTGCATTTGCCTCCCAACAGATCCATGTCCTCCAGCAGCTAGGACCTTCTCGGGGCCATTGGCTTTGTTACTCCTCCCTCCATTTTCCCAGGTTAGAACATTTTCCACGTCCTTTTCTGCAAACCAAACTCTCCCCACCTGCAGAGGCATAAAGAGCACAAATGTGCAGTTCAGCATGTCCAGAGCCTGGCTGACCCTTGCTC